TATGTGGAAGAATAAACATTAATATCGTTTCTTCATTTTAAGAAGCAACACATTGGTTTTATTTAATTTTAAATCATAAGATTTAGTGTTAGTGTTTTATTTACATTATCTTGTTTATACATATAATAGAAAAAGATCAAAAAATCAAAATACACTGAAATACTCAAACATTACTTAATTTTAAGTCGCGCTTAACTACTTGAATGCCCATATATAAGACGCAATAGAAAATGCATTGTGTCTCGCATGGATCCACGTTAAAACACACGACAGGTTAAGTATAGTTCTGTCCCTACAAATTCCTTGTAAAATGACAGAGACGGCACGATATTTGAGTACAACTCAAAAGTGAGTAGCCTTTCATTCGAACGTTTGATAGATACTTTTAAAATATCCGATCTGATTTTTTCTTTTAATATCGTTTCTATGATCAAACTAGCTTATTTAAATTGTATTATTAAGCCGTTAACATCTCCCTTCAAAAGATTGACAGAGGAGAATCAAACTCATTTTTATGGGACAAGAAGCACATGAGCTGAGATCATCTGATAGTAAGCAATCGTCACCATCCATAAGATACTCGCAACACTAGGCGAGATACAAGTATGTTACCGGATTTAAAGACGCAATATGCTCGAAGTATTACTCAGTTTTTTTAAATAAAATAAAATAAAAATCATTTATTTCGGACATCTAAGAGATCCATAAAATTAATTAATATCTATACCATACATCATTAATATCATACCATCGTAGTCATACAAAATTTACTCAAATATCATAATTAACTACATTAAAATCAGTCATACCTACTTAAACTTAAAGAGAAAATGTCAACATAGATTGAAAATTTCAATCAGACACAAATACATAATTATTATTAAATTAAATTAAATTATAACTCTTCTCACAAATGACCTCCAGAGTGGGGATGAGAATCTATCCGCCACAGTCTCCAGGATTTTGTTCCGGCTGCCACGCAATCTGCAGATCAGGGATGCTGTCTTTTTGCGAATAACGGCATCCAACATTAAAAAAAGAGATTTTTTAATACTTAACAAAACCCCTTGGTTGGCAACTAATACCCTATTACAATACATTTATAACTAGCTAGCTGAACATGCTACTACATCTGTCTCGCCCTCAAAATTCTGTTTTGTTTTAGCGATGACACTGACCCCCTATAACGACTGCTTTCGACCGGAGGGTAATCACTCTCCCTTCTATTAACTATATCTGGTAGATCTATACACACACGTAATTAATAGAGATCCTATTACTAATGTTATGGTCCGTTTTTCAAATATGAGCTTGACTTGAGCATATTTTGGGGTATCGCCTTATATCCCAAATTATGCGTATTGATATTTTGAAATTTATCTGTACCTAGCTGACTGACCGGCAGACTTAGTACTGCCTTAATGGCGTTGTCTTTTTAAATTCTCACCGTTTAAACCTTAAAACCACAATTAGCCAAATCGGTTCAGCCGTTTTCGAGTTTTAGCGATACTGATGAACAGTAGTTTATTTTTGTATTATAGATATAACTAGCGGCTCGCCCCGGCTTCGCACGGGTGAAATATGCATGTATCATACATATAAACCTTCCTTAAGAAACACTCTATCTATTAAAGAAAACCGCATCAAAATCCGTTGCGTAGTTTTAAAGATCTAAGCATATATAGGGACAGACAGACGGCGGATAGCGACTTTGTTTTATACTATGTATAGAATCTGGATAGATCTAACAAAGAATGTAGAATCAAAGAGTTCACTTATGATGGAAAATAACAATCGATTTCAAAATCATCAGAATAAGTTCGATTTTTGAAATTAGTTGAATGAAGGTTGTGTCAAAGAATTAGATTACAAAAATATTTTAAATTAAGAACGGTTTTAAATTTTTCCCGTTAGTGAGGTTCATATGACAACAGCTTAAAATCTCTTAACTTAAAATTAAGATACTCATCTGTATTCGGTTAGAATTAAAGTATATATTCCCTAAATTACAACAAGAATAGTAAAGGGCTAGAAAGATATGTGTGGAGTTTTGTGTTTTTAAGTACTAGTCTTTTTAGGAAATAAATTCAATTTTCCACTGTTATAATTATTAAGTTAATGTTTGGCGTACCTAAATGGTGTTTTTAATATATTCTTCTAGGTGAAATTTTATATAATAAGCGATTTGAATAGGTACTAGTAAAAAGGTTGATATTTCTAGATTTTATTTAATTTTTATTTTAAAAGTTTTATTGATTCTAAAACTATTGTGAGTATAGTTTCTTGTACCTACTTTATACATTTTGAAACGTTTGCAATAATGGGTACTTAGTTAAATTATTTATACAAAAATATCGTAATATTCTCCGTATTACAGTGTAGAGTTAGCTTCACCCACTAATAAATAAATAAAACCTCGTAAAAATAAACAAATAACATTTAATTAAAATACTATTTCGATAAATCGATGATAAATGATTTCCGTTGGTAACAAAAAACAACTAAAAATGCATTATGACTTATTATTAAATAAGACCAAAAAGTAAAGCATTATAAAAGGGTTTATTGCATTAAAATAAGTACTTGCATACAGGTACTGGCTTGTTATTAATATTTTAATTAAGGAAACCATCTTTTATTCGATTCTTATTTATATGAAGCATTGTGCAGCTTGTAGTCATAAAGTATTTATATTGCAATTATTATTATAAGTACGGAATAAGGTCAAGCTACTTGACTTTTAATTATTATTAACTACTATTAAAATATAAGTAGTAAGGAAACGCCTTGAATAATAATTAACAATAATTCTTTAATTTGTAATAATTACAGTCTGACGGTACTGTACTTGGAACTTTTGTTATAAATATTCACACGTTTCGAGTTGTTAAATGTTTTAGGTAGTTATTGAGGACCAGAGACTAAATAGACTATGTTTTATATTAGCAAAACTGTTTTTTTTTTTTATAAAAAGCGCTGTATATTATTTGAATTTAATTTATTTATGCTTTGCGTTTTACGGCACAACTTGTTTTTTACGCACAGTTAATATGTCAAAAAAAAGGTTAAAAATATATTGAAAAATTACACCATTATTAGATTTGTAATATTTTAATACATAAAATAATTGCTTAAGATTATTACTCACGAAGGATAATGTCATTCTCTCCAGACCTAAAAATTGCACTGACACTGTCTCTGCGGAACTAACATTCCTTTGAAAAAACTTCGTAAAATCACTAAATATTTACAAAAAATCTTCGGACGCGAACTCCTTCAAAACTTGAGGCAAACTTCGACGAACTTCAAACGCCCGATCAAACTATGTGGCGATCGTTCTATTTCAAAAATGTTCATCCACAAACGGCTATCCGAACGCGCGAAAACTTTTCTTTACGATATAAAAGTTGTATTTAGAACGGAAAAATAGAGCATAGATAACGCCCGCGAAAAAGAAACGCCGCGCACTATCGACAAAGCGTTCACGTTTTTTTTTTAATTTATTTATCAACGGCCGGTAACACATACAGCCGCGCGGCCAAGTTGCACAGCGCGGAATGAAAGCGCGTCATCAGTTTAAAAAATCAACCCCTTCGGTGGTGGGTGGAAAAAATGCGGCCCCGCGGGGCGTTGGGTGGTTCTACCGAAATCCTTGCCAAAGCGATCGGCATCGGTCCGACTTGTCACTTGTCGAATAAGCATGATAATTAAAGTTTTCGATTAGTTTTTTATTCGTGTTTCTTTAGAGCTTTTAGCACGTGTTTCGTACAAATTCGCTTTCAGTTAACTCGATCAGAATTTAATTTTTAGCGTTTGACTCGTGACCGGAGTTGGTTTCTCGAGATATTTTTTTTATTAATAATTCATGGATTAGTGTAAAGCGTGATAAATATGCAGGTATAAATGTATATGCGTATCTTTGTTTCCAATTACATTTATCGATTGAAAATTGAATAGATAAGAACTTGAATAATTTTAGCAATTTTTCTAGACATTTCTTTATGAGATAGGCGTATAAGAATTTTTTTGGTTCGTTTACCTATTACGCGTGCACCCGCGTATGCCATAGGGGCTTTGTGGAGCATACTGTATGTGTACATTGTTCGATACTGTTGTTGTTTATTTTGAATCGGGAACACGCTTTTGGAAAATTGCTCTATTCTATATACCTACAATAGATTCATGTATAGTATAGTTACCTAAAAACTTAGCTTTAGATGCAATGGTCAAGGAAACCAATTTTGTAATTCTAAACAAAGCGGTTATTTTGAATTGGACCGAATAAGCAAATACAATTTATTTCATACATTCTATATTGGAACACATAAACATTGGGAACAAATTGAATACAAAAAGCTTAAAAGCACAATCAAAACTCCACCGGGCGCTGACT